TGTCAAAATAATCATCAGAATTATTTTCCAGATGCAAGTAAACAATTTGCAAAGGTTGATTAGGGTAAAATAGAATACCTTCATAGTTATCTATAGCAATACTAGTGGTATGCACAAAAATGTTAAAACTTCCAAAATTATCAGGAGTAACAAGCATGCTAAAGCCTGTTGTCATTAGTTTTTTTGTAAAGAATCTGAGGGAAAGTAACACTTTAAATGGCTAGCAATTTTAAACTCAAGCACACACCCCAGTGAGTAAAATAATGGCAGGAGAATACTCATTTAAGCAAATCCATTCTGTCTTTACTATATCATTATGCCACTACTCCTGTACTGCATCAATAAAATAAAAAAATAAATAAAAAAAATTGTTAAATACAATACAAACCTAGCAATTAACATTCTAGATTTAAAATGAAATGCAAAAACTCAATTAAATTATAAGCAAACATCTACTACAAATTGTTACTTGTAAAATGTTCAGTGAGTGACTAAAGTTACCTTCTCTTCCATATATGAGAAAATCAGATTAATGACCTCAGTGGACACAGGGACCATATACTTCTGGTACACGGAGGAGAAAGTCTTGCTTTTAAACAAATGATCAGTCATCTGAATGGAATTTCGAAGAGAAAAAGGTTTAAATTTTTTCCTCAGTTAATTCTGTAAACACTAAAATATAACCACTTATTCTAAAAATAATGTAAAATCGTGGGGCCTAAAAGATAAATGCCCAGATGTTGGAAAACTACAATAACTATGATACTTCAATAGACCTTAGAAAGGCAATACCTCATGGAAGTTGTTTTTTATTTTTAAAACATCTGGGGATCTACTGTTTGGTCACCCCTTAAGCCAATATATAGTGCTCAATCTGTTGTTGAATGACTGCTTTTACACTCATCAAATGATCCACAAAGTACATAAGTAGAATGGTGAATAGTCACATTATATGCTTTACAGAACCAATGGATGTGTATAAATAACATTACAGGGTTATTCACTAATGTGTGGATTGTTAGGAAATCAGAGAATTCAAAGCAATTCTCAAATTGATGACCAAATTAAAAAAGATGGAAAAATTATTTGATTTAGTATATTTCCATTAAACTATTTTAGCCTAACATTTTAATTTTCATTTTGAATTTACAACAATTCCCACTTTATAGAATAACCCTGTAAACTTTAAAAATTATATTCATAAAAGTAAACTAGAGTTTTAGGATGGCTTTTGATACTCACATCAATAGATAAAAACACACAGTGGGTCAGTGCTTAATAACAAGAGGTAGAGTAATATAAGACAGCAACCCTAAGAAGGGGATCCCTCTCAACTAGTTGAGCGGACACCTGGATGTTCGGGTTCGCCGAGTTCGGCCGAACTTCTTCAAAAAGTTCGAGCTTGAATTTGGCCCAAACTTGACCCTGAATCCGAACCCCATTGAAGTCAATGGGGACCTGAATGTTTGGGCACTAAAATGCCTCTAAAAAAGTCCTGGAAAGGGCTAGAGGGCTGCAAAAGGAAGTAAATTAGTCTTTCAGCCACATTTACTAATACTAAGTAAAGATTACTTAGTATTAGTAAATTCAGCCCATACTCGCTATACCGCGAGTAGGGGTGATGTGGAAATCAAATCTCTCAAGTTTTCAAATCTATTTCTAGTAGGAATATGAAAGGGTCTTATTTCTGTTCTGTGGTCTCTACTATATTGAGATTCCCTCCGTGGTTTTGGGTCAGGTTTAGGAGAGGTTTTTTGGAATATTTTGGGTCTAGTTGATCTAGTTGTGTGCGTAAAACCACCTTTTCCTGTATCCATTTGTACTAATGTAAGTGTTTGAAGGGTGACTAAAACACTGGTTTGGTTTTAGACGCACTGGGATTTGTTCTTCTTTTCTTTTCATATATTGTTTAGCGCCACTTACCCTATTGTTTGTGCTTGCATAATTTTTTTTGTCACCCGGTGTTAAGGGCTGCTTACTTTAACATGTCACTATTTGAATCTAGAAATCACTGGTTCAAATCAGCAATTCAAAAATTCATGCGTGATGAACCTCCTATAGAGGAAGAACTAATCTTAAGTGATAATTTAGACCGTATGGTAGGTCAATTGGAAAAACTACTGAGTAGAGAGATCAAGATTAAATGGGAGGTGTTTACACTTCAAAAATACCTTAAGGATAAAATAACGCTTAGAGGCCTAAGGTTTACAAAATTCCCTACTTTTGATTTAAAAAATGATAAATTCATGAATATTTGGACATCTGCCCTAGAATCATTTTCAATAACTATGATTAATATCATCATAACACAAAGAAATGAAGACTTAAAAGAACTTGATACAAATATTAATAAATTGCATAGACAATTAGAACCTTTTGTGGGCACTAAAGATTTTGAAATGTTGTCAGAAAGGGTAAAAAACAATTTAGATAAATTGGAAAAATCTATAATTCTTAATAAGAAAAATAAATTTAGTAGAGACACAGATGATTATGCAATACCTAAAAATAATAGAAGAGACCAGAGCCAATCCAGAGCCCCATATAAACCAAATAATCAGAGGTATGAAGGAAGGAACTATAGACCCCCAAATTATGAGAAGAAATATTATAGACCACACAACCAACATAACCAACTCAAGTCCAAAAACTCAGCCCAGGCTGAGGATAGAACTTATTCTAGTGTGGTACAAAAAGGATTAAAAAGCCAACTAGATCAACTAGACCCAAGATATCCCAAAAAACCTCTCCTAAACCTGACCCAAAACCCCGGAGGGAATCTCAATATAGTAGAGACCACAGAACAGAAATAAGACCCTTTCATATTCCTACTAGAAGTAGATTTGAAAAATTGAGAGATGAAAATGAGGAAGGCCTTTTTTTAGACCAGAGATGGAGGAAAGAAGACCTTTTCAAAAACCCGAAAAGACAAAGAATACTAGAAGAGGAAACAGAGGAGGGAGAGATAAGCCAAGAAAGGAAAAGGATAATAGTGAGATACAAGTGTTTAATTTATCTAAAACAACACTATCCCTGACCCAAACCAGAGTTTTAATGAAGGGATTTAAATATGCACCAAGTTGTCCAGTAAATAAATTTGAAGCTTTTATAGACATCAATAGGTTTATTAGAAAGCTGTGCCTTAAAAAATTCTTTAATGGGAAGAAAGAGGAAATTAATATAGATAAGATTAACGATGAGAATATCATTAAACATACGGATTTTAAGAAAAAATCCAAGTTTTATCCTCACTTTTTAAAAACTCAGAGTATGAGAGTATTTGAAAAAGCATGTCTTGACGATTTATATAAAATTAAACCTCTCACTAAATATCAACAGAATCTAAGTTTTAAAGAAATGCAGGCTATTAAAGAATTGTGTCAAAATAGCTCAATCATAATAAAACCTGTGGATAAAGGTGGAGGGGTAGTTATCATGGATAAAGATATATACCTAAACAAAATTATAAGGCAACTTAACAACACAGAAACATATAGAAAATTAAATAAAAATCCTACTTTGGAGATAATAATTAAACTTGATGACCTCCTGAAAGAAGGTGTGGATAATAATGTTTTGAATAAAAATGAACAGTCTTTTCTTAAAGTAAAACGTGCTAAAATACCGGTAATCTATGTTCTGCGTAAAATTCACAAAAGCCTAGATAACCCACCTGGAAGACCAATTGTCTCAGGAATAGACTCAGTTTTAACACAGCTATCTCAATATATAGATTACTTACTCCAACCACTTGTAAGATCTTGTCCAGCCTATCTAAAAGATTCTACAAGTCTTTAAAATATTTTAAATGATTTTAAGTGGGAAGAGGAATTTTATTTAGTCACATGTGTCTGTTTACCATTATCGAGCACCAAAAGGGACTCAAAGATGTGGAATTTTATCTTAAACAATCGAAAGAATTTACAGAAATGCAAATGTAATTTTTAATTAAGGGGATCTTAATAATTTTAACTAACAATTATTTCTGGTTTCAAAATGATTTTTATCTACAGATCAGTGGCACAGCTATGGGGACCAAGTTTACCCCAAGTTATGCAAATTTATTCATGTCCTTTTGGGAGAGGACTTTTGTGTACCAAGGACATGGGTATGGGGCAAACTTGGTCCTCTATAAAAGGTATATTGATGATATTTTTATGGTATGGAAGGGGACAGAGAGTGATTTTAACCAATTTTTTTAAGAATCTTAATCTAAATGATTGGGGGATTAAATTGAATAAAAGTATCAGCCCTGTCTCTATAGACTTTTTAGATCTTAATATTTTTATATCCAATAACCAGAACAAAACTAAAACTTTTTTAAACAAGTTGATATTAATAGTTTTATAGATATAAATAGCTGTCATTATGATCCCTGGTTAAGCAACATACCAAAGGGTAAATTTTTACGTTTGAGACGAAATTGAACAGACCAAAAGGATTTTAAGGAACAATCAGAAATTTAAAAAAAACAATTTGTACAAAAGGGGAATAAAGAAGATGCACTTTTACAGAGTTTTAGAAGGGTTGATGCTATTGCACAATCCGATTTACTTCAATATAAAGATAAACAGGAGATGGCAAAAACAAACCTAATTCCCTTTATTTTTTAATTATTCTAGTAATACAGGAATCCTTATGAAGACCATTAATAAAAATTGGCATATCCTCCAACAAGAGCATGATATTAAAGAATTTCTGGGAGACAAACCTAAGTTTATTTTTAGGGGTGCCAGGAATCTAAAACAAATTCTTACAGCTAATCATGTACGTGGAGAAGAAAAACTGACATTTATAGATGATTGGTCTAGAAAACAAAAAGTATTTTTCCATTGTGGGTGTTGCAATGCCTGTAAGAGCACTTCTGTTAACAAGAAAAAGAAAGATATGTTTATATCATCTATAACCAATAAACAATATTCCATATCTTCTTTTATCTCCTGTGAGTCAAAAAGTTTTATTTATCTTTTAAACTGTAAATGCAGTTTACAGTATATAGGAAAAACCTTGAGATCTTTAAAAATCCACATAAATGAGCATATCAGAAATCTAAGAAAAGGTTTTCCAAACCACAGTGTCTCTAAACATTTTTCAGAAGTGCACCAATCTAACCCTAAAGAGTTAGAGTTCATGGCTATCCAAAAAGTTTCAAATAACTGGAGAGGTGGGGATAATGCCCTTAATCTTAGTAAAAAAGAAAGTGCTTGGATTTTTGATTTACAGACATTGCACCCTAAGGGATTAAATTTAGATTTTGATATTGGCCCAATTTTATAATCAAGTTTTGTTTTAATATTTGTGCCCCTTTTTAGTTTTTCTTAGCCTTTTATTTTAGATGTGTATTTCTAGCTTTGTATTGAGAAGGACCATGTATTCTTCTTTAGAACATAATTTTTATTTTATATTTATATATATACTGTTTTTTATATTGTTTTATTCATATCTTTGTTTTCTTAAATTAAGTCTAATTTGTTATGTATAATTATTTATTAATACATTTTTACCCATCCCTTTCCTCCTTTTTTCACCCTTTATTATGAGGTGTATTTGGACAAATTAACATGGACTCTGTAAATATAGCCTTTTATGCCGTTCAGGAGGATGTTGGTGCATCCTCCTCCTGAACGTCGCGAACCGGAAGTGAAGTTTTTTAGGTGTATAGCCGGAAATCTCAGTTTACATGATGAAAACGGAAATGACGTCGTCAAGTGACGAAAGCAGAAGTGACGTTCCGGCGCAATACCAGAAGACAGAAAACTGGATGTAAACATCCGAACAGGACAACCATGATGAAAAGGTCACCTAACATGGACTTTAATGTATAAGGACTTCATTTTGGGAGGGAATGAGAATCGGAATTTCCATATATGGGTCTGGGTGGGCGGGGTTTGTATATTACACAAATGTGTGTTATATTTTTTAATTGTGTAAAGTATAAAAGCATGCTATATGTTTGTACTAGTATTGCACCTGAGGAAGACCAAAGCCAGTGGTCGAAACGCATTGTGCTTATCCAGTTTTTATTTTTAATAAAATATTTTATTTATGGTTCCTGATTGTATCCAGACAGAATTTGATTCTTGTTCCTGGGGGACCATTCCAACTATTGAGTATTCTACATTCTACATGCTACTACAGTAGAGAGCCGACTTATATGGCTTTCTAAAGTATGAGTGCTCCTAATTATTTTTTATACCAGATATTGGTTGTATGCATATTGCCCTATGATAGTTGTTTATGTTACATCAGTTATCCATTGTGTGCGCAAAACCACCTTTTTCTGTATCCATTTGTACTAATGTAAGTGTTTTAAGGGTGACTAAAACACTGGTTTGATTTTAGACGCACTGGGATTTGTTCTTCTTTTCTTTTATTTTCATATATTGTTTAGCGCCACTTACCCTATTGTTTGTGCTTTAAAAGTACTTAAAATCTTGTCTCAGTGGTGTCATACCTCGTGTCCCGTGCCGTCCCGGTCCCGCCGTCCATCCTCTCCTGCCGGGCTGTGTGGCTCCCTGGCTGGCGTCGCGCACACGCGCCTCCATTAGAGCGCGCACGTCTGGGAAAGTGTCCGAGGACTTGCGCATGCGATAACCAACAGGGGTGACGTGACCTTAGCATTTAAAGTGATAGTAGCCTATTGCTACTATCTATTTATATCCTGTCTCATTTCTGTCCCTGCATATCAGAGTACACCTTGCCCTATATTAACCTCCTTCTGACATCACTTCCTTGCCCTGTGGTGGTTTATTATAGCCTGAGAGTGCGTTCTGATTAGTTGTCTTCATGACTTCGGCTTGTTTTTTGGTTATGCTTGTTTCTGGCTCTCTGGACTTTTGGCTCTGTCTATTCCCTTACCCATACCTCTATATCCCTGACCTTGGCGTGTCTGACTATTCTTATCTCTTATTCCTACATAAAGTCTGGCCACTTTAAGGTCCGGTAATACATCTGCCTGTGCTTGCCTTTATTGTTCTCTGGTTTGCGTGTTGGGGAGTATTAACCTTGACATTACGACAGGGCCATGGACCCTGCAAACCTGGGACAACAAATGGCTGCATATGAAAATAGAATAGGGGGGTTAGACCATAGAATGGATCAGTTTACCCAAGCCTTGCAAACGATCCTCACTAGAACTGCCTGTCTTCAACCAGAGGCAGAGGACTGTAGTTCTCAAGGTGCTGTCTCTCTACCCCTGCGACTCATTCCACACCATCTATTCGCCTAACTCCCCCCTCTCCCCCCCGTTATTCCGGTGAACCATTGTTATGCAGGAGATCTTTGAACCAGGTGGGAGTACATTTTGAAGTGGCTCCTGATTCATTCCCTACTGATAGGTCCAAGATAGCATTCATTATGAACCTATTAGAAGGCAGAGCCCTGGCTTGGATAAATCCCTTGTGGGAAAATGATGATATGATTGTTTTCAATCTTGAACTGTTCCTCAGGACTTTTCGTAATGTGTTCAATCCCCCAGGCAGAAAGAGACTAGCAGCCAGAGCACTGTTAAAAATCAAACAAGGATTTAGATCAGTGGTCGACTATGCTATTGAATTTCGTACCTTGGCCTCTGAGCTGACTTGGAATAACAGTGCTCTGACAGCTATGTTTTTTGAGGGTCTTTCTGAGTCCTTAGAGGATGAAGTGGCAGCTAGGGATTTACCAGAACTCCTAGAAGACCTTATACAATACATGTCGGACATTGATATAAAGGGTTAGACAGAAACATCTTCATTTAGATAGACAAAGGAGGGCTATAGGAAGAACCGCTCCTCGTTCAATGATAACCGGATTACCGCTTTACCAGCCTGATTCTGATTCTGAACACATGCAACTAGGTAACACCAGACTCTCTGAGGCTGAGAAGTCTTACAGAAGAAACGAAGGGTTGTGCCTATATTGCGGTAGTAAGGGGCACTTACGTAACAATTGCCCATCATGTCTGGAAAACTCTACCACCTAAGCTCGTTCAGGGGACCGGCCTTGGGTGTAATGTCTCTGTCCCCTAAATCAAATTCATACAGGGGTGTTATGCCTGTAACCCTATTCTGGGAAAGTGTTAGTCATCTTACTATGGCCCTCATTGACTCTGGATCTGCAGAAAACTTTATCGACTAGACCTTTGCAACAGCTCTTTCTCTTCCTTTGGAGGAGAAAGAAACACCCTTGGCCGTTGAGGCCATAGATGGTAGACCATTAACAGTCCCCTTTGTTACGCATCAAACTAAGACTTATTATATCAGTCAGTGTAACCCATAAAGAGAAGTTGTCTTTCCAGGTCATTTCTTCTCCTTTTTGCCGTTTGGTTCTTGGTTTTCCATGGTTACAAAAACATAACCCTTTATTGACTGGAGAGAAGGTCAAATTCTGCCTTGGAGTCCGTCCTGTAACATACAGGTTTAAATCAAGTTAAACCCCTTTGTTCTCTTAATGTTAATTCAGCTACTCCATTTTCCACTAATGTACCGCCTCAATACCAAGATCTGGCAAAGACATGGGTATTGAACTCGCCTTCTCCTCAGCCTATCATCATCATCATCAAACGAATGGTGCTGCTGAAAGGACTAATCAAAGCCTTGAACAATATCTCTGTTGTTTTAAGTCTCAACTCCAGGACAACTGGGCTGACCTTCTTCCTTGGACTGAATTCGTGAGGAATAATGCTAAGCACTCTGCTTCTGGTCACAGTCCCTTCTTTGTCACGTTTGGTCGTCATCCAAATATGCTTCCGGCTTTGTTTTCTCACAAGGGAATGCCGGTTCTAGATGAACACTTATCCACTGTACATGACACTTGGAGAATGGTCCATGCAATCCTGGAGAAGACTGCTTACTCAGAAAACCTTTGCTGATAAGCACCGTAGGGCGGAGCCTTCTTATGTAGCTGGTGATAGAGTCTGGTTGTCTAAGCGTGTAATGGATCACCTGGCACCCCGACTGGGTACCTCCGTTGAAGGATGCTCCTAGCACTTACAGAGGGCTTCAAGCGCTCCGCAGACACCACAACCACTGCAGACCCCACGAACTGCCGCAGCTTGGATGGGGTCTTGCCGTCTCCTACCCACCCGGGACCAACGGCGCTCTGCCCTGATGCCAGCGCTTCTGCTGGGGTGAGGGGGGTGCAGGGGGTGGTATAGCCTGCAGGACATCAGGCTCTGGACAAGGGACAAAGGGAGGGCAGATGCCAACTGCACTCTGCCCAGCTGCCAGCTCTTTGGCTGGGGTGCTTGGGACATAGTCTGGCTCAGTAACCAGGGGAACATGGGGGTCAGTGGGGGTTAACATCTCCTCTGTTAACCCTGGGGCCAAGCTGGGAGTTAGCAGGGGAGGGGAGAATTGGCTTACCTCCTCCTCCTGATACTCCTGCGATGGTAGCTGGGGATCTGGACAGGCTGTCCAGCATCCCTATGGGTCAGGCACAAAGACCACGGTCCCATCTGCTGTCCAGCATCCCTGTGGGTCAGGAACAAAGACCACGGTCCCATCTGCGCCGTCTGAAAGATTGGTGTCTCTCCTTGGTAGTGTAAGCTTCCGCTGGGGAGAGAGGGTGCTGTGCTCCTCTCCCTGAATCACAGGCTGCTGCTGGAGAGGGATGACGACACCTTCAGCTCCCTGTAACTTGCACTGCCACTGGGGAGGAAGGACGACACTTTCGTCTCCCTGGAACTCACACTGCCTCTGGAGAGGAAGGACAACACTTTCGGCTCCCTGGAACTAAAAAATGCCGCTGGGGAGGAAGGACGACACTTTCGGCTCTTTGTAACTAGCACTGCCGCTGGGGAGGAAGGATGACACCTTTGGATCCCTGTAACTCACACTGCCGCTGGGGAGGAAGTACAACACCTTCGGCTCCCTGGGACTCACTCCGGGGTTGGGGATCTGGGCCGACTGCCCAGCATTCCTGTAGGGCCGGTAGAGAGACCTGGGGTTCCTCCCATATGCATAACCTTGACTCCAGAGTTCTGCCTTCTGTTTATAAGTCTTAAAACACAAACTTCTATTCCAGGTCTTAATTGCTGCTAACAAACTGATAGCTAGGAAATGGAAAACGCACACCGCACTCTCTAGAGATGAATTGATAAAGCAGATATCCACCAACTGGGTGTATGAAACAATGGCAAATTCACAAATTAGGTCTGCAAAAACCACTCAAATGGCAGGAGATATCTGATGACAAAAGTGGGTATCACAGAGGACCACTAAATAAACTAGAAATTATATCTGGGTTTCACCTAGTGCTCTATGCCTATACACATG